CTTAGCCAAGTTAACTCGTAACCCTGATACCGCCTCGAAACACAACGTACAACGTAAATGCCCTGACTAGGTCGCCTCACCCCTTAGAAAATTAGTGCATCATCAGCATACAACAAATGTGACACAATCATTGGCACCGTGTTCTCCATCCCCACCTTAACTTTCCATCAAACCTCCCCGAATTGCCTGAGATAGCAACTTGCTCAATGCATCCATAACCACTATGAACAACAAACGAGACAAAGGGTCACCTTGACTCAAACTGCAGTGGGTTCGGAAAAAAACTGCTGTGTCCAATTCTCCATAACTGACATCTGAACCGCAGAAATACAAAATTGAATCCATTCACTTACCCCCATAACTCATTTTGTCCAACGAATAAAGAAAAAACTCCCAATGCAAATTATCACACGTCTTCTCTATATCCAACTTACAAATAACCCTTGCACAACCCTCCCGAATTCGAGAATCAACACTCGTTAGCCACTAACACGACATCCAGAATTTGACGCCATGCGACAAAAGCATTACATGAATCTTAGATCACTATGTTAAGAGTACCTTTGAATCTACGTGCCAAAACTTTAGCTAAAAGCTTATACACACTCCCAAGCAAATTAGTAAGTCTAAAATTCTTACTGTCCTCTGCCCCCCCCTCCCTTCTTAGGGACCGAACTATTAACGTAGCATTAAAACTCTTCTTAAAGCCCGTCTAAAAAAACCGAAGCATCATACTCCTAACATCGACTTTTACCACCTTCCAAAAAAGCCCTCGTAAAAGCATTCGCACCCAAGGCCTTATTGCCACTAAGATCATGCAACGCCCCTAGAACCTCTTCCTCCGAAAAGGACGTTCGAACCAAACGTTATCTTCTTCCGTGACCCTATCAAAATCCACCCCCTCAAGGCTTGGGCTCCACACCCCACCATCACCTTGGAAAAGACGTCTATAGAACTCTACAATCCTATCCTTCACTTCTGCCTCAACCGTCAGCTCTTGCCGCTCTGCCCGTATTTTACCAATCTGATTAACCCTTCTATGAAAATTAAACATGCAATGGAAAAACTTTGTATTACGATCCCCTTCCTTGAGCCATAAATACCGAGACCATTGCCAAAAACTAATCTCCTCCAACCGAGCAATACGCCCAAACTCCTCCTTAGCCTGCTCCCTACACAGAGCATCCGCCTCTGATAGACATCCTGCACTCTCCACATCACCTAACTCTTGAATCACCGACAACATCCTACCTAGCCTTCTATCCCTCCAAATGACCAAAACTCTCCCTATTCCACACCTTTAAATACTTTCTTCAAACACTTCAACTTCTTGGCTAGCCGACAACTTGGGGATCCCTGCACCCTATAACTATCCCACCACCCCCGAACTCTATTGACAAAACCATCGGACTCTAACTACATGTTCTCAAATTGAAAAGGTGACGAAGCACTAGAAACACCCCCACTATCAAGCAAAATCAGCCAATGATCCAACAACGATTTGGGCAACATGGGAAAAATGCTCCTTCCAATCCCCAATCAACAAGACGATCAATACGCAAGGCCAGCGCGACCACTAGACCAGGTAAAGCACCCACCTTACAAAGTAAATCAAACAACTACTACTCATCAATGAAACTTGAAAACTCCCGCATCGACCCGCCGAATGGTTGATTCCCCTATTTCTCCACCGGATATCTCACCACATTGAAATCACCTCCCACACACGACAGAATCCTCTACTGAAAAGCAATACTCTCTAACTCACCTAAAATCACAAAGTTGAATTGGGCCATACACCTTAGTATAGACCGACCTAAAATCATCCTCCAGACACCTAAATAAACACGAAACCGAGAAAGCCCCAACTTTCTCCTCCTCCTTCACTACCACCCCTTTATCTAACAAAGCAAATATCACCCGTCAAACCCCTAGACGGCAAACAAGTCCACTCCACAAATTGCCCTTCCCACACCTCCCTCACTACATCCCATCCCATCTCCATCACCTACGTTTCTTGTAAACAACGAACATGCACCCTGGCAACCCTAATTGATGCCCAAACCGCCACCCATTTAGCTCTATCATTTAGCCTACGCACATTCCAGGACAAAATCCTCAACCTCATTGCAATAACAATTAACACCCTTAACCCTTCCTTCCTTTCTTTTCCCTTCCCTTCCCCTCCAAACCGAAAGTTGTTGTCCGATCATAATTAATCGAACATTCGAGATTTCGAACTTTTCGCACCCATCAAAAGACACTCCTCCACTGCCACCCGAATTGGCACCTTACTCCATGTTGTCTCAATTGCAAAAAATAGCTTCAAACCCTTCTTTTCATGCCCCTTGAAAGACACTTCCAAAAAGACGACTAACCTTGTTGATTTGACCCAACAACCATTTGACTACTCCCTAGATACCCCTTAGCCAAACTTGAAACACCCTCCCCCGCCATCGTTACAATAGGCTAGACTAGCAGAGAACCAAAACCTTCCCCCATGTCCAGCAGCATACCTAGTACCAAACCAGGGGAACACAATGCCCCAACCTTTATCACCATCAAAGCATCTCCTTCCGATATGATTGGTTCTACATCTGGCTACTGCAAAACATGCTCTACATCAAGCGACTGCCCCAAAAATCGCGAACCCCCCTCGGCCTAAAGACCCATCGCGGTAGGACTACAACAGCCCAGCTCATCACTGCCTCTTGTCGATACCTCTAGCACACTTTGGCCAACCCACTCATTGACAAACAACCTCCTAAGAGGGTCAAAAACTTGATCCATAGTCAGGTCCAAACCCATTTTACTTGACTCAAGAGCAAAGAATCTTCGTCGGCTGACACTTGCACAACTAAAATATGCTTAGTAGGCCCAGTTATTGCCCCCCTAGTGAAGCCCAACCAATCAGGCACAAACCGAAGCCCTTTATCCTCAATCTAGGCCTTGACATCATTAGTGTCCCCAGTAGCCTAGACAACATTTGTAACCCCATTGGGGTGATCCACACAAGCCACAAATTCCAAACACCCAATTTCCATACCTGAAACCCCCACTTTGCCTAATGCCTCTTCTTGGTCCACATTGAGCCCACTTCGCTTGAAATGCCATTGTTGAGTAGGCTGCACAGCTCTGGAACGATCTGTTTTCTCGAAATTTTGCTCCACTGATCTACTATAGACGATCTGCCGCCCATCATAGACAAAATTTGTCGCAGATCTCGATGATGTCTGACCTACTGATGGCCGCCTCTCTGTCACCCCACTAGCCAACATCACCGGCCACTCCTTCGACCAAATAGGCGAGAAATAACGCCACCAACCCCACCGTAGAACCACCTTTACCGGAATACCAGTCAGAGGGATACACACCTTTAGCCTTGCAAAATCAAAACTTCATCTCCTTTGTGTCTTTGTCAACTTCCCAAAACCACCATACCGATTGCCAATGGCTATGAACACTTCTTTGCCCCACAAACGCACTAGCAACCCTATCACTCAAATCTATGTCGATCTGGCCATAGTCTCTCTGTTACACTATGCCGCCAGCGACCACTAGTCCAAAAAGATTTGAACTTCATCAACCGACTAACGTGCAACCAATACCTTCGCTGCCACTGGTTCAACCACAAAAGCAAACATAACAAACTACACCCCCCCCTCCCCTCTAAAAAAAAATAAAAAAATTCCGCCACCTCCATTAGCCCAAACGCCCCTCCACAGATGTTGCACCCAACCCTGCAATTCAACATCGACTGGCCTCCCGCCCACCTCCCCTACTCTACTCACCAGACACTTCTCCAAAAAAACTCACAAAAACCCTTTTAGAAGCAACCTTGACTTCAACATCACAGTCTGACCTCCCTCTCGAAACCACTACCATCTCCCCTAAACGACTTGCTATCTTCCCTCCTACTGACATGACACGCTGACGAGTGCACCACCTTTCAAGGACCAATGCAACTCCCTCCCAACCATCCCCCGAAGTCGAGAATGGAATGAAAATTTGTTAGCGTTGATTCTTCCATCAAAACCACCACCTGGATTGTAGGTCCGTCTTCGTCCTCTCGCAACCAACATGCCATGCTCCTTGGACCACCCTGCAGACAGCCTAAGAAGCTGACATGTTCTCCATATTTCATCGCTAGTTGCATCCTTGACACAAGCCACTGTATCTCATAACCGATCAAAACAACCTCGCGACGTAAACCTAATCCCCTCTCCACAATCGCAATTTGACACCGACTAATCTTGTCCACCTCTTGGTCCTCAAATTCGAAAGACTGGGTCCCCAAGAAAAGGATCCATTGGTGTGAAGTGCTCTCCGGCACCACCAAAGGATTTGTCATTACACTAGTCTCCTAATATATTTTCTCATAAAAGACCCTATTATCATTATATTGATGCTCACATTGTCTTTTAAGCTGGTCTTAGATATATTGTTGGTCAAGGGCTGACAAATAATGGATGTTTACCTCTTTCTCTACCTGCTAAGAGGGTATTAACAAATATAAATACATTTGTTATCCCCGTGTCCTTGGACATTGAAATTAGAGAAATTTTATACTAATATTTTCACACCTAACACCTGTGTCAGAGTTCATGTAACATAGTTTATATGCCAATGTGGTGGTAAGTGGTTCAAAATTTCCTTAAATTTGATGGGTTGGAAATTGCATTTACATGTCCTAGTTAGTGAGCTTTATGTATTTGTTCTTTAATTTATCATTCACTCTATCACTATTTGTTCTGTATTGGTACATCGACATGGGTTTAATGTCATAAAAGCTTGGGTAACTGTGGAATTTTTGCAAAAAGAAGTGCTAGATTAGTATATGAATTAGTTGATAGATTGTTTGAATTGGGTTGTGATAACATACAAAGGCTTACATACCCAAAATGCGTGTGAGAATTATAAATGAGTGTACCTTTGTTAAGAATTGTGGTTCCTGTGATTTTCTTGTCATATGTAATGATTGATCTCTTTGGGTAATGCAGGGGGAACAAAGTTTGCAAATTGCTTTATTTGCAATCAACGGGGACACTTAAGTAAGAACTGCCCCCAAAATACTCATGGGATCTATCCCAAGGTACAATTATTACTATTTTGATGCTTTTCTTTGTTAGAATAGAGATCATTATATTCTTAATTTTTTGAATGACACATAAATTCTCATTGTTTCATGTATTAAGCCATCACAGCACATTGAATCCTGTTAAATTAGGTGAAGGGTAGTTTTGTACTTATTTACTTATTTGCTTATTAGTATAAATACATGTGTAGAGAGGAAAAACCTAATTACTGGTTTTACTCTTTTCTCTAAATTATTCTCTCTTATATTTTCTTCTCTTTTACTCTTAAAATTCTTCCAATTATTTTAACTTGGTAGTAGAACTAAGAATCTGCTGTTCTTTATCTTCCTGGTCATCTTTTTTTATTTATTTTTTGTTCGATAATGTAAAAAGAAGAAAAATCACCATGATGGTCAAATAGGGCAAGGGGATCTCTAGAAAATTTTTAATTTTTTTTGTGGTATTCGTTGCCAATATTCGATTTTATTTGTTTTGTTTTTTTTCTCAAAAAAATGGAGCATTTATTTTCGATCTATTGGTTGCCAGATTTTTTCTTGATTCATGGTTGGGTTGTGTTCTATGGGTGCCGACCAGGTCTTGGGAAGTGTTCCTTGGCTTTAGTTGTTACTCCTAGCTTGTCCTTGGCTGGTTTTTGGTCTCATACTACTGCTGCGTGTGTTCTACAGTGTGATTTTCGACCTTCGCTCCAATTTTGCGACTATTTTTAGGCTTCGTTTGATGCTTTAAGCCTGTTTATATTAGGACTCACTCCTCTTTGCAAAGCTTTTGTTGATTGATTTAGTTTATCCCCACTTTATCTCAGATTTTGGGTATAGCTATGTGTTCGTAGTTCATGGCTGATGAAGGTAAGAACCCTGTGGGCCGTGAGGTGAAAGGTTTGGTCCTAGTGTCACTCTTGGTGATAACTCCTCTCTTCACCGTAAGTTAGATGGCACCAATTATTTGGTATGGTCACATTTGTTTAAGTTGGCCATTACTGCTTGTGGCATGTTGGGTTACGTTAAAGGAGTTACTAAGGCTCCCTCGAAGGATGGACCAGCTCGTGACAAATGGAATAAGGAGAATGCTTTTGTCATGACTTGGTTGATTAATTCCATACATCCCAACATTAGCCGTTCTTTTGTTTTGATGGATACTGCTCATGAGATTTTGATTGCCGCTGCTCAGATGTATTCTCAACGGGGTAATGATGCACAAACCTACAACCCACAAAAAAAGATTCAGGGGTTTTATTAGAAGGATAGGTCCCTTGCTGAGTGCTGTGGAGAGTTAAGCAGTTTGTGGTAGGAACTTGATTATTATCAAAATTTTCAGGTTGTCTGTTCCCAAGATGTCACTACCTTTTAGTAGATGTTGTCAAAGGAGAGTGTCTATTATTTCCTTGCTGGTCTCAACATAAAGTGTGATTAGATTCATGTTTAGGTTCTTGGCCAACATTCGTTTCCTATTGTGTGTGGGGTCATGTTTTATATGAAGAGAGCAAGCGGAGTGCTATGGTTCATTAGCCCCTCCAGGATTGGTCTACTTTAATTGTTTCTTCTGCTCCCATAGATGGGAAATTTGGTTCAGTTGAGTCAGGGAGTAAAGGTCCTTCTAGTGATCATGATCAGATTAACTGTGATTATTGTGGAAAAGAATAAGCAACACATTTTGATTGTATCATGTTATAGTTCACCTCCCCATTATCTTAGGAGGGTGCCGTAGATAATTGTTTGGTTCGTAGGTGTTGGCTTTTTTTTGGCTTTCAAAGGTTAATAATGTAATTTGGAGCGTGCCAGTAAAGATCAATCAGTCTTTACAGAATTTTAATTGCCAACCAATTATTAGACGATTGTATTGAAGTTCTTTCAGCCTCAATGAAGAGGACTTTTACTGGTGGCTTGTTTCAGAAGCAATTTTTAAGAAATAACAAGTACAGAACAATTCAGAAATTGAATTTCATTGAGTAAATAAGAACTTACAATGAAATGACCCAGCCTTGAAAAGGTTTACAGCAACGACTACTCGAGACTACTCGCAAGAAATGAAGTGCAGTACAGGAATTGAAATGCTGAAATGTAAAGAGCTGGAAATGTAAAACTGGAAAGAAATATGAAGTAAATAAACTGGTTTTTGAATCTGAGTTTGGGTCCTTCAATTTGGGGTCTTCTCTGCAATTTATACTCTCCAAGGGTAACCGTCGAAGTGGGCTTCCATCCATCGAAATGTCCTCCCATGATTGCTGATCATGCTCTCTCACAGTCAATTCCACTACTCCATTCTTGCAGTTAGGCTTCCCTCTTGGATTTTGAATTTAAATTCGTGAGTAACCGTTAGGCCATGTCATCTTGCGCCTTCTAGCTTTTCCAGTGCTGTGCAGATCCATTATAACTAATATGACCTGCCACGTGTCTGTGTTTGATTGGAGACTTGTATTAATTCTCCGAATTACCCCTCATGTACCACGTGTCAAGCTGCGATTAGCTTTTACAAAATATGTAGCCAACATTACCGCCACGCACTAATTTGCCCAATACATGGTGATATTAGTAGACTCAATGCACTTTGTCCACGTCCTAGGATGTGCATAGACTTCGTATCTTCTTAGAAATGCAACCGTCTTCCATAAATGAAGCACTGAATCTGCATTAAATTTTTTCCTGTGTTGAACATTTTTCACTATCTGAGTATTCGAAAGGGTTGATACAGTTCTCATGGCCAAACAAACCTTTCTTTTCATCGATCGTACATACAAAGAGGTATTAGACAATGATGTTCATCCTCGAAGGAACCTTCATGCATTTATTGGCCACGCTTATCCGCCTCCATTTATTCAAGTTATGGATGCTTTCGCAAACTATCAACCTTTGGACCAAGAATCTGCCAACTGCAAACCTTTGGACCAAGAACTTGCAAAAATGGATCTTGGAAGCTCCTCTTCTGCCTCCCAACTTTCTGCATGGGATGAAGCTGCCTTCTCTTCCTCTAACAACACTTCTAACAGCATTAGCTGGGGAACTTGGCCTACACCCACTCAACCTCAAACAAGGGAGCGAATCTACCATCGATTTCCTGAATTTGATGACCCCATTGCAATCCATCCCTCCATGCGCAGCTCCGTAGTATATCCATACGTCCCCCTCAACCGTCTTCGCAGCCTTGAGGACAACTTGCTTTCGGCATGGTATATTTCCACCTTGCCTTCCAGAATAGTGTGAAATACTCCACACCCTATTGAATCCTTGGAACTCAGTCCCTCATTCTTAGCCAAAAGGCAAAACCTTGCTCCTCTAACTAGCTAGAATGTATGAACAGGCCTGACTTCCTACCTTTCTTTGGAGAGGACCCAACTGCTCCTTCCCTGCCTTACAATCCTAATTGGATTGAAGAACTGAAACTCACCCTCTTCGAGAGCTAGCATTTTGCTCTCTACCAAGCCTCAGTCCTTCCTATTACTTACCAACAGTATAGAGCCCAGACTCTGGTTGCCGCTTTCTTCCATTTATCCTTTGATGTCCTTCGAGATGATGTTTCTCACAAGAACTTATTATGGTCTCGTGATATTATCACTCGAAGCTACATCCTTAACCCTATAGCCCAGATAGAGCTTTATACTTTCTTGGATAAACTTCCTCTTCTACTCAACTGGCACACAAATGCTTCCATTACCAGTGAGTTGCTGGAGGAAACCTCTGCTGCTTGTATTCAAATTCAGTATGAGGCAGAGAATCTTCTTGAAGAATATGAGAACTTCAAGAACCAAGACTTAGAGTTTGGAGGAGATACCTGTTGGCTACATATTTTGTAAAAGCTAATCGTAGCTTGATACGTGGTACATGAGGGGCAATTTGGGGAATTAATACAAGTCTCTAATCAAAGACAGACACGTGGCAAGTCATATTGGTTATAATGGATCTGCGCAGCACTGGAAAAGCTAGAAGGCGCAAGATGATGTGGCCTAACGGTTACTCACGAATTCAAATTCAAATCCAAAAGGGAAGTCTAACTGCAAGAATGGCGTAGTGGGACTGACTGTGAGAGAGTATGATTAGCAATCATAGGAGGACATTTCGATGGTTGGAAGCCCACTTCAACGGTTACCCTTGGAGAATATAAATAGCAGGGAGGGCCCCAAATTGAAGGACTCAGACTCAGATCCAGAAACCAGTTTATTTACTTCATATTTTTTTCCAGTTTTGCATTTCCAGCTCTTTACATTTCAGCATTTCAATTCTTATATTGCACTTCTTTTCTTACTAGTAGTCTCAAGTAGTCGTTGCTGTAAACCTTTTCAAGGCTGGGTCATTTCATTGTAAGTTCTGATTTACTCAATGAAATTCAATTTCTGAATTATTCTGTACTTGTTATTTCTTAAAAATTGTTTCTGAAACAAGCCACCAGTTTAACACAATCATCTGATAATTGGTTGGCAATTAAAATTCTGTAAGGATTAATTGATCCTTGCTGACACGCTCCAAATTACATTATTAACTTTAGAAAGCCAAAAAAAGCCAACATATATTTTTTGGCACGCGCAGTGGGACTATTAAAAATGGCTAGACGTAGTGCAAGAGTAGAAAATGAATGCCTGGAAGCGGGCGTGGAAGGAGAGGTAGAAATACCTAACCCAGAGGAGATTGTAATGGATGCCCTTGTCTCATCAGATCCTCCACAAATAGTCAAACAGACCAGCACTTTAGAGTATACAACACATGTCCAACACACTGGACAGGGCCATGAGCCTAGACCTTCGAATGTCCCTTCTACCCACCCAATAAATCCATAGGGAGGTTTAGTAGATGCTATGGGGCAACAATTAATATATACAATGGAAAGATGAGCAACATCTTTTTTGGATCGAGTAAACTCTCATCAACCAATGATCGCACGACAGGCTGAAGAAAACATGAGTTTCCTTCGGTATAGATTGGCTCGAGATAAATAGCCTATAAAAAATAATGGACAAACTAATGGTCAGGCTAGCAATCAGAGTCATGAGAGGTCATCACCTGTGCTT